GTCGCTCTCTCCGATCCAGAATATCTTCTCCGAATAAGCATATCGGCTGATTCAGCTTTCTTAGCTTCAACTTGACCTAAAACAAACTTAAACTGGAGATATAAAATATCAAAGGCTTTAGAAGTAACAAAGAACCTGAACATCATCGGTCGGTAGCGTAAGAGTCCTTGCTCGCCTTCTCCGCTCAAATTCTGCCAATAACTCAGCTTCGTGTTGGCTTTCTATTGGGTCCACTTCCATTCGCTCTCCTTTTCTATCTGATGCCATAACATTCGTGCTTTCCTGCAACAGCGTTGACGTTTCCAAAAAATGTAAGCCAATTGTATGTGCTGCTCGAACCCATGTTGGCTTGTTATGAAATTCACATAAGGGAAAAAAACCTAAAAGCCACCACAGTAGTAAGAATTATTATATTAGGTCATAACATTTCGAACTTCAAAAAATAAACATAAAATGGTAAAAATACTTAAAATTGAAACACTGAAAAAAAAAACGAGGAAAAAGTACCTGTATAGCCTTCACGGCCTCTAGAGTGGCTAGTGAGCCAAACTTTTTGGCAGCTTCTTCTGCCATGTTGAATCCTGTAGGAAACGTTTAACAAAATATACATTCAAAGGTAAACGTGATAAGCTTGTTCTAACATGTAATGGTCCGTATAGTGAGATGTACATATTGCTCTAAACGTGAATGTTTCTACAAAACATGTCCAATCTAGATCCCTTCTAAACTTACGGACCCATTTACTTGTATTGACATGTGAGCTCGTATTTCGCGTCGATCAACGAAACTCTATTTACATGCTACAGTACGTAAACATACCATAACTAATTTAAATTGGAATGCAAAGCTGACTTTCATTTCAAAAATTTCGAACTATAGGACTTTTTATTTAACAGCTACCTCCTATATATGCGTCCTATGGTTTATTAGAAGACAAAAGCAACACAAATTCGTAAATATCTGCAACGATTGCTACGAGCATTACATGTAAATAGGATTTAACAGATATTTATTGTTATTTTTCTATACATTTGTTGAATGAAGAGATCAGAAAAGTATATAACAATACAAAGCCCTGGTTTGAACATAAATTTGGGTCTTAATTATTGATGGCTAGGCCATGCTGCAAAAGCTCGTGCCGCAAATTGACCTGGAATACAACCAGATACTTACATTAAAAAAAGGAACAAAGAGCAAAGAGTATACCTGAAGATCCGTGAGTTTCTTTTTCAAAACAGCAACACCAGAGTAAACAATACGGTCAGCTTTTAATGCACCAGTGGCTTCAACTAAATCAAAGACAATAAATGGATGCTGGAAAACTAGTGAAGCTGAAACTTACTTGTGAACCAAAATTTGTTCGGCTTGCCGTGAGCATCATAAGGCGCTTCATACTGCTTCTCCTCTCCCTCTTGATCTTTAAGCTGCGAAAATTCACTGCGTGGCCATTCTTTTGGATTAGGATAAATGGTATGTCGAAGGGCATTGTCTGGATCGTACTCAAAGCCTACACCGCAGGTGGGATTCCATTTCGCATGCTCCTTTCCGAAGCCCTACAAACGAAAAAATAGTATGAAAAGAAACAGATCAAGTCACAGGTTGACACCTTCTTTGCGTAGCATTTCAGATTAATTTCTTGTCCTTTTCGAAGTTTTACAATGAGAATGTCTTCGTGTTGTCCATATTCATCACCAAATGCGCTGCGATTCTTCAGCTGCTGGCCACAAGCGGGATAAACCTGAAAAGAAGTGATAAAAGTGATGACAGGTTCATGGCCAAAGTTGACGAGCTTTTGAGAAAAAAAATGAAAAGCTCACAGTATTTACATATCGTTCAGTTTTGCATACTAGATCGGCCGTCGTGACAGATCGTGTAGCCTCTTCCTTACATTTGACGTTCAACTCGAACAATACAGAGCAAGCGTCGCAAAACTCTGTACAGTTGCATTCCTAAAAGAAATCCCATGGCATTTAAGGTTAATTCAACTTAATCCATTGAACATTACTCAAACCGTGTTCAAAATTTATGATTACTTTGAAACAATAGTTAAATTTCTTTTTACAAGCCGAATATGTTCAGAAGCGTCACCGTTTTCGCTGTGCATATGAGAGCTTACCCTAGTATAAGCCATATCGTCAACAACAGCGTCTGATACAAATGGAATCAGTCCCATCCGATGAGCGATAAATTCGTCGTGCAAAACGCTGGTGTTCGATTCTATTTGAACCCAATCTATAGCGATAGTAGGAACCTGAGGGGCAGTGTTATAAGAAAACCAGGAGAAAAGGGTTGATTTTACGCAAACCTCAGCGATGAAGACCCGCCGAAGTGCATTGGCGACGCTAAGATCTGTGTCCTCCAAAGAAAAGCGAACCAGATCGTCGCTTAACTCCATTATGTTGATAACAGGCTGATTTGCGTACGGCATCTGGGAAAAAATGACAAATTCCGTACATATATGGGAAAAAACTTAAATGTCTGCAAGAAGAGGAAGAAATGCAAGGAAGGGATTTTCTTTGCCAGAAATGACAAAATAAAAC